AAGTTTGCTAACTTTATCGGTTCTAACTTTGTATACATGTAAATCTCTCCAAGACTGTCCATGTCCTTTAATATTTCAATTATATTTCATCTATATTTATATATATAGTAAAGGAGAATATTCAAATTACAAAGAAGGATGTTACAAAGTAAAATAGAAATTAGCATGAATACAAGCACACGTGTGACCTGGATTGCAAGGTAAAAAATAATACGATCTAAGGTTTGTAACAATACACATATAGGACATCACTTTCTAGTTTTCAAAATGCTAAGCTCTCAAGTTTAATATAATAGGATTTTGGAAGAATTATAATTGAAGTTACATATCCTAGGGTCTAACTGAGAATACATACTTAAAATTAGGAAAAATCTTAAGAACTAATGTTATTAATTGATTCCAACTAAAGGTTTCTCATTTCATGTTATTCATAATTCTCGCAATTAGAACAAGACAATCAATCAAGTACTATTTGAATAGAAAAGAAAAAGAAAAAGAAAGAAAAAATGTTAAAAAATTTGGGTTCCTAATTACTTTTTCCTTGTAAAATATATATTTAACCGTGTTCTAGTTCAACAAAAAGAAGTGTTATAACACTCCCCCACCTAAGAACCTCAAAATTTTACTGACCTAAGTTAAATAGATATGGGTATGAGTTCTTCATATCTACCTCACGTTTCCAAGTGACATCTCCATCATCAGTTGCTCTCCATATCACTTTAATTAATGAAATCTTCTTATTTTGAAGTCACTTATTCTTTCAATTGTCAATTCGAAAAGGTAAATTTCGTAAGTTACTTATCTTTTAAAGATACTTGACCTGTGAAACATGGAAAACATTGTGAAGATTTGACAAGGTAATGTAAATTGAATTTCATATTCTTTTGAGGATTTGGTAAATGTTAAATGAATTTAGGATTAAGCTTTCGAGGTTTCAAAATTCTGCCTAACCTAGTTGTGGGTATTAACCCTAAAAAATATGTGTATTGTAGTAACTATTTCGTCGGCTTTGTGTAGCTTTCATCTTTCACATATGATCTTGAACTTTTTCGTGCTCTGCTGAATTATCTCTAATCCAATAAATATGCTTTCACTAGCCTCGTACTAACATAATGGTGTTATGCACCTACATCCATAAAAAGGCCTCATATGGAGTTATTCCAATACTCGTATGATGACTGTTGTTGTAGGTCAATGGTAGGTGTTAATCCTAATTGTCTCCTCATTCTAGCGCACAAGCCTGCAACAAATTTTAATGATTGATAATTTGTTTGGGAATGATAACTCAAACTAAGTCACAACTTGGTTCTTAGTGTTTAGTGTTGACTTTCCCAAAATCTTGAAGTGAAGCATAGATCTCTAGGTGACACAATGCTCTTAGGTAGTCTATGCAATCGTATAATCTACTTGATATAAAGTTGGATTAATTTTTCTATTAAGTAGTTGACATTTGGTGAGTCTATCCTAAAGTCTAATTGAGAATACACTCAAAATTGAAAATAATCTTAAAGATTAATGTTAATAATTTATTCTAACTACAAGTCTCTCCTCTCATTTTATGCTGATAATTAGAAGAAGACAAGTAATCAATTACTATTTGAATAAACAAGAAAAAAAAGAGAAAAATTATCTAAAAATTTGAATTTCTAATTACTTTCTTTTAATAAAATATATATTTAACCATATTCCAATTTTTTTTTTTTAAAAGTGTTACACACACTTGCACCATTGACATGCGTCTTGGATAATTGTCCCAACCTAGTCTAATATGAGTGGTGCAAAATGGAGTAGAGTCAACTTGAATGCAAGCCATCTGTCTGAACACATTTAACATAACGTGTAATAGGCTAACTTGAATAGATTATCTACAGAAGTTGACATTCTAACAAAGATTGACAATTTATTCTCACTTCTAACTAATTAGTATTTTACTAATGATATTTGTAGATAAGTATGAGTTTCGATTGTGTTCTTTAGTGTTAAGAAATTTCCTACACTTTATTTTTAAGTAGTTTTGATTTCACCAAACATTGAATTTAGGTCTTGCAAATTTCATGAAAATTATTAATTTATCTTCAAGATTTTTGAACAGAAAAATAATTTAATTGCATATAATATTTTAAATAATGATTGATTATTAAATTCATAAAATTAACAATTTAAGGTATTAAAAATTTTATGCATGATATTATTAACATCAACAATTTGTTATTAAAAAATATATGATACGAATAATTTTATAATTATTTTGTTATAACAAATGGAGCAATTACAATTATGTTAATTTCTCCAGATATTTACAAGAATAATTTATTAAAAAACCATTTTTTGTCGTTATGATAATAGTAAATGAGGGAGAATATACGACTGCACATCACTTTTGATGTTCTTTTTATAAAAGAAAAGATTCTAATAATTATTTAGTTTCTGTGTTCATTTGAGTCTGATTTAATTAGATAAGAACTATAATCTAATTGAAATTTAATTATTTTAGTGGAATTGTTTTTTATCTGTGACAATACATGTTCTTCTAATATTTAATTATAATTTTAAATATAAAATATTTATATTTAATGTTATAAATAATGAATTATATCTAACAATAAAATATTATTATTCATATATGTAATACTGAACATAAAGCATAATATTTGAGTCTTCTGACAAAGTCTATTTTTATTTTTTTAAATATTTAAACAAACTTTCTTAAAATAAATATATCATCTTTATTTTACTAAGTATGATGATATATTTTATAACCTAATTTTATTAACAGACTTAGAAATATTACTCTTATTACATAAAAAGAATAAATTTCAATCTATTAGTTTCAATGTAGTATATTATTATAATATTAATATTTAATTATATATATTTTATATAATAAAAAGTTATATTTCCTATTTTAAAAAATAAATATAAAATATCTCAATTTATTAAAATAAATAATCATGATACAAATTATAAGTTCGTCATATAAAATTAAAACATTAATATACATTTTTTAATTTAATTATAATTAAATAAGTGATAGTTAGACACCATATATCTCATATTAACACTTAAAAATAAATTAGAAGGTGGTAATGTGGTAACATAGTGAAAATAAATACTAAAAATAAAAATCTTAAAAATAATTTTAGATAATTTCTTCTACGTAAGCATGTAGAAGAATAATAAATATTTTATTTTTATTTTTTTACGGTAACAGTGATTTACGGTGACCTGAAGAAAAATTATCGAAGCATTGATTTTTATTGGTTTGAGTTGGAATAAGGAAAATAAAATAATTTTTAAAGATTTTTAAATAAAAATATTTTTTTTTAATTTTTGAGAAATTGTCAAATGAACAACTTATTAATTTTTTCCAATTGCACCAATTTCGACCAAGCTCATTCATAGTCCACTGGTCTAACCAGTTAATCCATTTGAATTTTCAAAACTATAATAGTATGTATTAGAGGTGGGTGAGAAATATAGTTTTAAAAGTCAAATCTGTAACCTAAATCAAACTGGTTTTACAAATCCAAATTTTTGAAAGACTAGATATTTAATCCACAGAAAAAAAAATAGATATGAATTAGATATATTAAATTAAAATTAAATTTAACTTAAGAAAATCGATTTTTTTTCTTTTCTATTTTTCTGAACTCTAAATTTTTAACAATTTTCTTTCTTGCATCGTAGACGTTATTGGCAGCATCTTACATAATCGCCTAATCGTAGCATCAGGATCGCAGTGTCTTACCTAATTGTAACATCGCAAGTAATTTATTATACTTTTCTTGATTCATAAAAGCAAATATATAAACGAAAATTCTAACCTCAAGCAAATTATGCAAGTTATTCCAACATTACCTCATGGTTAATAGTTGATTTCCTTATTCTTGATTACACGAGTTACTGAATATTATTGAACCATAATTGATTTTCGGTATACATGTCAGCGGGATACATTGTAGTTTTCAAAATATTTTGAAATCTATTCTTGTCATTGAGAACATTTATAGATCGTGTTCAATGATACCTCAAAGGCTCATGTAGCTAATCTGCATTATGAAGATGATAGTAGTTGAAGCTTGTATGTATCGATCTTTCGAATTTGATACTTGTCAAGTTGTCAATATGTGATATGTTATTATTTATTTTATGTATGTGAATTAAAAAAAAGGAGAAATACTTGTGCAAACTCTTTTCTCAAAGAAGGCATGCTCAAGAATTACAAACTTTAAATTTTTTACTCCCTTCTCAGGATAAGTGTATATTAGAACAAATTTAAATTATATAAAAGATACAAGAAAAAGTAAATTTTAATGTATAATTTATAAATTTTAACTTTAAAGTATAAGTGATTTTATGTTTAAGGGGGAAAAAGTATTATATAAAGACAAAGAAAATATTAAGATTATAAATAGTTAAAAATAGGAAAAAAATAAAAATTATATTTTAATTTATGTGTGGTTTTGGTCCTTTAAATTTGATTGTTAGTATTTAGTTTCTTTAATTTCTCAATTGATTAAATTAAATTTTTTACTCTTAAAATTTATGTAATGATTAATAAAAATATAATAAACATCTAAGATATCATTGATTAATGTAAATTTATTAAGAAAAATATAAAAGATAATTAAATGAAAATTTTATACATTTTTAATATTTTATTTAAATTATATATATATATATATATATATGTATACTAATTTACATAAATTTAAAATATGTCATCTATATTATATATTTATTAATTATTAAATAAAATGTAAAATTAAAAAAAAATTAAACAATTAAAAACCTTAAAACACTAAATATAAAAATTAAAACTAAGAGAACTAGCAAAGCCCATGAATAGCCAACCAAAATTGAAAAGTGAAATTAAGAAAGTATGTTAAAAGTGTATTAAGCCAAATATAACTTAAAAAGATAAATTTTGAAGTAATTAAGAATTCAAAACTTTTGAAAACAAATAAAATACTAAACTATGCTAAGTCATGGCTATGATATCATAAGCGTAGCCATTGCGAGCAGAGGAAGGAGGCAGCGACGGAAATGCAATGCAGCAGCAGCAGCAGCAATCCTCACTGCCAATGTGTTTCCATTTTATATCCTCAAACAAATAAAATATGGTCTTTTAAGCGAACTCTTTCAGTTACTCCACCACCACCACCACCACAACAACAACGAGCCTCTCGCGACGAAAAACCGAAGCTAATAACAAGTGTTTCTAACCCATTTGTGAAACATTGCCTCAAACTCCGCAACTGCTCTTCCTATCGCCGCTCTCATGGTTCTGCTCTTGTTGTGGGTTCTACCCCTATCAGGTTTGCTCTCATCGGTTCTCTGCTTTTCTCTCGATTTTCTTTCCTTTTGCAGGTTCGGCTTCTTTTAATAAAAAATTGCTTGTTTGTTATGAATTTTTTTTTAAGTTAGGTGACCTTCCAATTTTCAATCTTTGAAAATTTTTTAGTTGTTTTCAGTTGAAATTTTGTGTCACTTGTGGAGCATGTATTTCAGATTGTAATTGTACTGTTAATTGATGATTGGATTAATTATTTATTGTGTTTCAAAAACTGTTATAGGACTGTTTGGAATTCTGTAAGCTCGTATTGTGCGAAACTTTATGTCGTAAATTCGAACATGACCCTAATTGGAATGAGTTAGAAGGAGCTTATTTTGATAAACTTTACCAAGAAGCTTATGAAAATAAGCTAAGTAAAACTCATAGAAGTGTAGGCTAATTTCATAAGCCCGTATAAGTTCCATATAAGGGTTATTTGTGAAAGTTTCTTCCATATAAAGATTTTTTCTATAATTATAAAAAGAATAATCTGCTCATGCTCTGTTTTCTGTGGCTTGATCTTATCCTAGTTGTGCTTGTAGTTCTTGTAGTTTATTAGTTATTTTATTTAAGTTATGGGAGGTTCGAACTTCTTTTTTCTGTGGCTTGATCTTATCCATGTTGAGCTTGTAGTTCCTTTAGTTTATTAGTTATTTAAATTTAAGTTATGAGAGGTTTGAAATTCTAGCTAAGAACAGTTACTAAGCTTCAAGCTTGGTGTCCTAAATATGCTTAAATAGCTGTATATTAATATTAAATTTATTGGAAAGGAAGCTTTGGTGGTTGAGCTCAAACCTTCAAAGTAACATCAATCAAACAATGTACTTAAATTTTTTTTTGTTTGCCTGAATCTCTTTTAATTGCCTGTGTTCTTTTCTTCATTCTGTGTCCTCGCCTGAAATAAATATGTACAAAAATTTTCAATTTCCACCAGCAAATGGCTTAACTTGTCTCTTTTTTAGCTGATTAACGTAGACTGAACTTATTCCATATAACTTTTTCTCCACTTTTAAAGAATAAATGATATGACTAAAATTATGGAAATAAAACTACAGCTTTGATGAAATAAAGTTGTTATTTGCAGAGAAATCTGCAGATTTCGAGACTCGTTACAAGATGAAAGTGTTTTGATGGATTGTTTGATTCTTCCTGATCAAGCTGAAATTCCTGATGGATTGGATAAATCCACTGCTTCTATTGTGCGTGTAAGCTCCATAGTGATGAGAAAACTGTCTGGGCTGCAATCAATTGACTCTATTGATGCAGTTGCACTTGTGAAAATTCCTGCCAGTTTTTTCGATGTAGATTACAATCAAAAGAACTGCCAGAAGTGGTTTCCATCTGCGCATCGGATTTTAGTCCTTGATGGGATTCAGGTATAATGTCACTTCTAGATTTGACCATTTGGGACTCAGAATTTTTGCCTGATATTGTATATGTGCATATCTGTAGTGAAAGGGGTCACTCTTTTTGTGGGCTTCTCATTAATGTCCCTCCCTGCCGAGACAAAAAGGCCTCAACTAATTTTTTTGGTCATATGTACGTCTATGTCAATATTGTGAACTGCAAACATCATAATAAATCTTGTAGGTTTAACAACTTTATGTGCCATAACTGATTTTAGAATGGTTCACTGCAGGATCCTGGTAACCTTGGTACTTTGCTCAGAACAGCAGTGGCCTTCAGATGGGTAAGTAATTATCCTCTCCCCTTGCCTATGTGGTCAGGGGGCATTGTTTTCTTGTTATCATTATGCTTTTCCTCTGTGCCTCCTTTTCTTAGTACTAACCCTGTTGAGTATGTAGAATCTGATTCCTATGTTTAAGTAATTTTAGTGAATGGGGAACATATCTTCTCATCTAAGAGTTCCCAATATATACTTGCCTGCTAATATTTGTCATTTGTTGAGTATTGACTGGTATAACTGGTTATTGATGAAATGCATTTTGTTTGTAGTTTCACTTTTCAAACAAACCTAGAGGTCACTCTTATGCATCATTATTTTAAATCAGTGATGTAATAATCTGTTTTCACTATTAAACAGTCATATGAAGTATGGAATAAATTTACAACTTAGTTTTCTCCTCAACAAGAACTTCCTATGTAAAAGCAAAATAGTGATGTACTATTTATTTCCTTTTTCCCTTGGTCTGAGAGCTTTGTTTCAGCATTATTTCTGTTTTATTGACTACCTCAGTTTGATATTGTTAACACCGCAAATGTCTCTAGACATTTATTAACTACCTCAGTTTGGTCATCCACCTGAGGATGGTAGGCAGAACTAAATTTTAGCTCAATACCTGCCATCTTGAATATCTCAATCCAGAATTTGCCGAGGAAAAGCTTGTCTCTATTGGAAACAATTGTTGATGGAAAGTCATGTAGTTTAACAACTTCTTTGATAAACAATTCAGCAACATCTTTTGCTGTGTAAGGGTGACTAAAGGTGCAAAATGGGCGTATTTAGTGAACCTGTCCACTGTAACCATGATAGTGTCAACCCCTTGGGCTTTAGGCAATCCTCCAATAAAATCCATAGAAATGTCAGACCAAACCTAAGTTGGTATAGGTAAAGGCTTCGATAACCCAACAGGAGATAAGGCTTGGTACTTATTCCTTTGGCAAGCAGCACAAGCTCCCACATCATCATGGGTGGCCTTCTTCATGACTTTCCTCCAGCATGTAACATTTCTCCCACAATCTTTTCAATTTCATGCATCTGGTAGTATGGATGCCTATAAGGCCTTATATTCGGTATTTGTGTACTTTCTTTGAAAAGTATTGCATGATCTTGTTCCCTCTTGGGTGGCAAACCCTTAGGCTCCTGGAAAATGTCCTTCAACTCTTCAATTACCTCATGGGTTTCGTTGGACAGGAGTTGTGGCTCTCCTTCAATGCCACTCAGTTGCTGATAGAAGATATAATAATCCTCCTCTGCATCTTTTAAAGCTTTAAACATATTCTTCCAAGAAGTTTGTGTCCTGCTAAGGGAAGGGCTGCCCCTGAGCTCGTACTTCTTCTCATCTCCTCTCCACTTTATGACCAGATTCCCAAAGTTGGCCAATCTCCGCCATGTACTCCAACATTTTTTCAAGTGGGAGCTTTAGCTCAGCCACTCTCTTGAGAGAAAACTGCTAGTGACTCCACAATCCAACAAAATAAGCACGCTCTTCCCAATTTTTTTCCCAAATCTTGAAGAATTGATGAGAAGCCAAGCTTACCTTACTCCTTAGTGACAGCTGAAGTGTTTTATTTTCTATTGCAAGTACCCCATCACTACCTTCTTCCTCAGATTTGACTACTTCCCTATCTTCCATTAATACCAAATGATAATGGTTTAAGTTTACATAGACTCTCAAACATCTCCTCGTACTCCATAACAGTACTAGTTTGCTTGATGCTCAATAACGACCTGAAAGGATTCTGTCGTAAACCTGGTTGAAATCTTGAATCATAGCCTCCTCGAACTGGTTCCAAATCAGTGAAGTTTACTCCCCCATCACTGGTACCAATTCAATGCTCGATTCTCTAAAGCTACCAGCATTGCTTTCATCCTCTTCCTCCCTACTTCACCCATATCATTCACTTTGAAGAACCATTCACTCCAAGTGATCCACCCATTGACATCGTCCTAAGAAAAAATGGGCATCTCCAAATTTCGTCCCCCACAACCCCACTTCACTAGTTGGCTCTCCCATGAGGGTTCTAGTTCTAGATGTGATTCGGAAAACCATTATGAAGACCCCACTCAGCTTTCTATACTTCCTTCTTATGTGAGTTTTCTGATGTTGTGATCCACTTTGCCCTCTTAGTCTCTCCTATAGTATTTGCTTGATGTCCTCCATTTGCATCTGACACATCAAACTTAGCCTTAGCCTGCTTTCTCATTCTCTCTCAACCTTAGCCTTAGCCTTAGCCTGCTTTCTCATTCTCTCTCACTAAGTTTATTCTCTCCTCACACAAACATGGCACTCATTCCTCACCTTGCCACTTTAGTAGTTAGTCACTTTTCTCACTCTCTCTTGGCTACGATTCACTACATTGCCTTTCATTCTCTTTCAAACAACAGTTTAGTTAATTTGAGTTTAGAGGCCCATCTTATTTGGGTTCTCTCTTAGTCTTCCTTGTATAAGTACAACCCCTATTCTTTCCCAAATACCTCAATCTCCATTCCAAGCCTCTATGTCAGTAGATGATGTCAGCCACATGGATCACCTGATGCCATTGAGCTCGGTCAATCAGTCTCTGCTGTGAACACCTTTGCGAAATCAGGAGTAGCCAACATAGGTAAAGGTGTCATAGCTGATTTCAAAGTGTCATAAGCATGTTGTACTTCCTCTCCCCATTCTAAGTGGTCCTTTTTTAACAACTGGGTCGAGGATCTTGTAATTTTCCCATCATCCTCAACAACTTTCTATAATATCAGTTAGGCCTAAAAAGCTACATAAGCCCTTAACATTAGTAGGTGGGGACCAACCGACCATGGTTTCAATTTTTGTGGGATTAGCTTCAACATTAAGTGGCACAAATACTCTAATTGTGGTTGGCCAAAGCAACATTTCTTCTTGTTCACATACAGGTGATGTTCCTTCAAAATTTGAAGCACCGTGCTTAAATGCATTGCATGAGCCTACTAGTTAGCACCCTAATTAAAATGTCCTACAAAAATAGCCTGTCAAAATAGTCTTGTCGTACAAAAATACTAGCACAAACCTTTGTAATAATAGCCTCGATATATCATTCATGAGAGCTTGGAGTGTAGATGATGCATTGGTCAAGTCATGAATCCTAAATGCGGTCTTGTAGGTGTCCCCCTCTTGCATCGGAATTTGATGACTCTCAGATTTGAAGTTCAATTTCTAATTCATCTATTAGCTCATCTATTGCTGGAATTGGAAATATTTGTTAGGAGCTAATACTCTGTTTAGGACTCTATAGCCAATGCAATATCTCTACCCTCCATCATTTTTCTAACTAGTATCATTGGACTAGAGTATGGGTTGACATTTGGCCTAATAATCTCAGCCATCAACATTTCATTGACTATTTCTTTTATCTCATTATTTTATAATGAGGGTTCCTGTAGGGAGCGTATGTTTGGAATTGAGGCTCCCTTTTCAATAAAATGACTTGGTTGTGTCATCTCTGTGGCAGCAGCCCTTGGGAATCTTGATAAACCTCTTCAAATTGGTGCAAGACCTCTTCAAATTTTGTACTCCACTTAGAACCCTTCTCCATCACCCTGTAGAACCTTGTACATAGTTTATAAGGATGCAGTTGATCTTCTCCCTTAAGAATAATTATTTGGTTTGCCACCTAAATCTTCATAGTTAGTTCTCTAAAATTTTCCGTTACTTCCCCCAAGCCTTCCAATCAGTTCAGCCCAAGAATCACATTGGTTCCTCCTTAATCAAACAAAAAGAAATCTTGCACAGTTTGCATGTTCTGTACCTGCGTAGTAAACCCTTTGCACTTTATCTTATGGCCATCTCCTACCTCCACCCAATAGTTTGGAGTATTGGTCACCAGTAATTTAAGCTCTTGCTTCAACCTTTTTGTAATAAAATTGTTGGATGTACCACAATTGGCACTTGTTTATCCTTTAGGCTTTGTTTGGGAGTTTGAAAAGAGAGAAAGGAGTAGGGTTTGAAGGGGAGGGGAAGGGAGAGGGCATGAGATAGTGATGGAAGGTTTAATTATATAAATAATATTATTGTAATTTATATCTTTTTTATATTTTTTTATTTTTAAAAAATAAAAAATAAATATTTTTCTTTCTTTATAAATTAATAATTTTAAAATCAATATTTTTATTTTTTATAAATTTTTTAAAAAATTTCTCATTCGAAAAACTAACATTTTTCAGTAAAAAAAAAAAAAAAAGGTTAGAATCCTACCTGTGAAAGAGTACTTAGAGAGTAGGAGAGAGAAAACCTAAAATGAGAAAACTTCCAAAACTAGCATTTGAAGGAGTTTAGAAAAATTCCCAAACCCTTCCCTTCTTAATTAAATAACTTCCAAACGAGGGTTAACCCCTTCCTTTCTCTCCTTTCTTAAACACAACTCTCAAACATAGACTTAGATGCCCTCTATAAATTGAAGTCTTCCTAGATGTCATCCCCATCATACTGTGAAGAGATAACTGAAGGGGCTTCTCCTCAATCTCCTTCTTGTTATTCTGATGCTCCTCATCTTGTTCATCACTTAGTTCTTCTACAGTCTCTTCTACCATCAGATTGAATTGTTTGTACTTGCACATAAACTTCTCATCACACCTAAAGGATAATAGGCCTTTTCTCAATTTTTCTTCTAACTTGGCATTTGACAATTTCCTAAATTCACTTCCTCTAATAGCACCCCCCAACATTGTCCATGTTATTTTTCCAACTATAGGGAAGTTTGGACCCCATAGATTTACCGCCTTCAATTTAACTTTTACAGATTGAGTCAATACTCAACATTGATAGGTGTGGTTCTTGTTGAAGAGGAACCCTTGGCTGGCATTCCCAATCTGTTGCTCAATGGAGGGCCACCAATTTCAGCAGCCAAATTCTTTTCTTTGATAACTTAGGCCAAATCCAACAAATCTATTAGACTTTCCAAGTGATGGATCTTGAGTTTCACTCGGATCTCTTTCAACCCATTCATCCATATTCCCTGCAACACCTACTCATAGGAATGATGCAGCAAACCTGCCACTAACTCAAATTTTTCATGATACTTGCTCACTATTCTTGCCTGCTGCATGCTAAGTAGAATTTTGTATGGGTTCTGTGCCATTGCCGGCTGAAAAATGATGGTTAACAGCAGATCAGAATGATGCCCAACTGATTTCGGTGGCATGAGTTTCCCACCATTGAAACCATTTCAATTCATATCTCTCCATTGCCAACATCACAGCTTGCAACCATTTTCTTTCCCCCATGGAATTTAGTTAGAAATACCTTTCAACCTTGTTAACCTAATCATATACATTGTCACCCGAGAAAAATGGAATTTCCAGCCTCCTCCTTGGTTCTGTCACACAATTACCATTTGGTCAAGCAAAACTCCTCTGATTGTTTCCTTCTGATTCGTCCCTAGGGTTGTTCCCCCAAGGGCTAGTAGATCACGAATCAGACGAAGCAACTCCTCTTACACCTCCTTGCTTCTCTTCAATCTTGCTTCTTGCTCCTCCTTCCATTGCTTAAATCCCTTATTGATAACACAGGTGTTTGAGAGATCCTGTACTCTCCCTCTGACGCTTCCACTAATTCCCTTTCATTTCCTGACATATATCATTCAATTTCTTTGATTGCTTCACATGCAGTCTGTTACATTAATTGTTCAATTCTCTCTGAATTCCTCTGTTGTTTCCTTATATAGGCCTTAGTGAGAGGTGGTTTCCTAACAGTGATCTTCAGAGAAGTTGAAGCTTTATGTCTCAACTTTCCAATGGCACTAGTCCTAGCTTAGTATGACACCCATGGCATGCCTTTGGCTCTATGTTTGCATTCTGGCAGGTTTCAGTGATGGCAACGCTGTTCTGACTTTCAGGCCCATCTGACACAGCTTTAAAACTCTTCTGCAAAGTTGCTGAACTTTGTATAGGCCTTCCTATAAGGTAAAATTCATGATTTAGAGGTCTACAATTCAAGATATGACTGAAAAACAAAAACACTGGACTGGAATATTCCACTTATGTTGAAAAATAAAGTGTGGCCAAATTTGAGCCCATACTTATACACCATGGCGAAGACTACTGAATTAAGAATCTTACATGACAGGGTGTTCAGGTATTAATTCAACAAGCTCTGATGCTAGTCGTTGGTTGCTTTGTAGCAAGATAAATCAAGGGGCTCAATAATAGATGACTTCGGTGTAAGTGATTTAAAGGGATGTTGTGCTGGATTGGTTCATAAAGATATATTTGGAATGGGCACAATGTATGAAGTCAGCTACTACAACATTACAAGCTGATGAGATCAGCATGAATAATTATATATTTTGTGACCCTGGACCCACTTTCATGTTGAGAAGAAATCCATCAAGGAAGGGGTAAAAGTGGGATTTAGGTTGTATCAACATTTTCTACGTTGGAAGGGAAAAGTCTTAAAAAGCAGCAAAGATTTAGAAAATAAAGGGGAGTAAGAGGTTGGCGAGGAAATCCTGTGTGGAAGTTTGCAGGCCTTTTAAGGTCAAATGTAGCGTACTATCTTTTGGCTTTTAGTTTCTTGAGTGTAAAAGTGATGAACCTGCGATTCCAATCCCTAATTGGGTTTATCCTTATTTTTGGCAATACCTATTAGAAACAAATCATGAAATATGGAAACCTATCCTAAAAACAGAACATATAAAATACACTAAAATATTCTAAAGATACAATAAAGATATGATGAAATATTTTTTAAATACTCTTAAGAGATTTTATATCCTCATAATTTCTGCTTTTATTTCTATTAGAAATTTAAAATTCTTTTTTAAAATTTTATGAGAAATTAAATTTTTTGCATATCTGACAGGATGGAGTTTTTCTTCTTCCTGGCTGCTGTGATCCATTCAATGAGAAAGCTCTACGAGCTAGCCGCGGTGCCTCCTTTCAGGTCCCTCTTGTGTCTGGCAGTTGGAATCATCTGGAGTTTCTCAAAGAAGAATTCCATATGAAGTTGCTTGCTGGGCATCCAGAGCATGAAGGGTTGGTCAAGCCAGTTTGTTTGCTTTCTCCAAGTTTCTGTGATTCCATATCAGATATGCCATTGTGCTTGGTTTTAGGCAGTGAAGGAAGTGGCCTTTCAGAAAAATCCCTGCAGGCATGTGAGCTTGTGAGCATTGCAATGGCTGGAGAATATGAATCACTCAATGTTTCAGTTGCTGGTGGAATTTTCTTGTATATGCTACAACCAAAGAGTCGATGATATTTTCTGATTCTATATTTGTGCTGTCTCATTCAAGTTCTTCAATTCTTTGGGCCGAGGAAGACATGTACAGGTGCAGTTAATTATGACCTCTCATCCAAGAGGCTATGTTGCACAGCAAAAATGCCTCCAACTGTCATGCGGATTGCAACTTTTTCCCTTTTTTATTCTTATTAAAGCTAGTATTTCTGCTCACATTTTGGTTGGGCTGAGGATTGGGCGGGAAGAAAGTCTTCAAATATCTGTATGTTATGTATCTTCACTCCAGCACCCTTTTCGTCGCTAAGAAAAGAGGGTGCTTCTTTTTCATTTTCTTAGAAATGTCTGTATATAAATCACAATAGAAACCAAGAAAATGGGCTAAAATACAATACTATTTTGGTAACTTAGACCTCAATACTTCATCACTTTTCTAGTTGAAATAATTATCATTGCTTATTGAAGTATTGTTGATTTGGTGGAGCTCAACAATTGATGCTTTCAATGTGATTATATATGATGACCATTTTTATGCTTTTTTTTCCTAAATGTAAAGTGTATTTATATACAATAACAAAGTCTTATTCTATAAGGTCAAGTCAGCTACATAAATCACATGATACTATTGAGTCAAAAATTAAATTTTAAAAACTTTAAATAATTAAAAAGGCTCTTTTAATAATTTTTGTTTAACATTCTTTTGGATCTTCCTCAATTTTTTTTTATTGGATTAAAATTTATGCAATTCACTTTCTTATTATTGTCTCCAAAGGTCTTGCACATGACTGAATTACCTGAGATTATTTTTAATCATCTTTTTCATTATAAATATTATTTTAATATTTGTTCGTATACTACCATTTTGTGTTTTGTTTTTTCTTTGTCCATTCATTCACCTCACTATTTTTATTTTTGTCATTATTACATTCTTTTTGTATTATTTCTTTATGGACTAACATTAACTATTATATAACATATCTGGTTGTATTATAATACAATGAAACTTTTCTTTTAACTTCATAGATATTTTGCAAGGGCTCAAAGCAGAACTTTGATGTAAATTTATTATTATTAGAAAGTTCTTAGATACAATTTCATAAGTTCTCATATATATAATTATTCCTTCATAATATAGTTTAAATATATGCTACACAAACTATTTTCTTTTCTAAAGCCTTCCATACCACTTCTTTTAATACTTAATGATACCTTTTTCAAGTCAATAAAAATCATATGCAAGTCTTTTTCTTTGTAGCAATATGTTTCTATCATCTTTTATAAAAGATATATATCTTTTATTATAGACCTTTCTAGTATAAAAATTAATTTTCTGCAATTTCAGTTTCTTCCCATGTCTATGTTCAATCACTTTTTTTTTTTTTTACTTCGTAGAGTTATTCATAAGTTTAATCTCACTACAGTTTGCATAACTTTGGATATCACATTTGTTCTTATGTATACGAACCAAACTAGTTTTCTTCTTCTATTGGACATATTGTTATATTTCAACATCCCACTAAAGAACATAATGAGTTATTCTAGTCTTATTTTTGAACTTTTTAAAACTTCTATAGAGATGTTATTAAGGCCAATTGCTTGACCATTATCCCTCAATTACTTCTACTACTCGAATAAAAAAATAGTCAGGCATAGAATTTGAACTGCACCATTTACAGTTCATTCAAAACTACACTGCGAACCATCCTAATCCTAATATAGGCCCTTGGCTTGAGACTTCGTATTAAATTTACATCTGCTCGGTATAGTTGCAAAATCCCTTTTATAATAATTTGGGTATATGAACAAAATATTCCATTTCTTACCAATAATTTGGGCAATTTTCTTTGACCATGGCTTAACTTTTGGGCTCAAATTACATACAGTCTGTTTTCAATTTTAATAACTCAATGGTTTTAACAACTCAAAACATAGTAGATTGTTACCACACACAAGTACAGCTTGTTATTAGGAGAATTTCACTTAATCATGTAATTCTGATAATTATGTATTTGTAAATTTTTAGGAGATTAAGCATATATTTGGGATATCTGCTAAAATTATAGGAGTTTATTGGCCTTGTAATAGACACACATATTCTGCGCTTCTGTTATTGGAATAGACTGAGAGAAACATAATACAGTAGCAGCCGTATTTTGATTCGAAATCAAAGAGCAGTGATACTCCAAATCTTGACCAAAAAATAAGGCGTTGATGATCGATCCAACATCTTATTACCATACCACAGGAGACAATCTGAGTATCATTGTTACTTTGGTGAAACTCAAAGGAGAAACTACGATTAATGGTCAAAAGCTGACGATTTAAGGCAAAATGTGAGAACTGACAATGCCAATTGCACACAATCTAAGGCAAAATGTGGCAGCCAACAATGGGAAGTTAAAATCAATGTGGGAAGGCTGGCCAATTATATGAAGAATCCGACATCAGTTCGTTTTGGCAATACGTGAAGTTCTACACAAGAATTAATTAGCACAAGAACACGAGGGGTAGGTCCATCAATTCTTGATGGCGATGGGTCTTCATGATGCTGTCTGAAACGGTACGTTCTAACATTTCAGCTAATGTTAAATAAGTGCAGCAAGTTCATATGCAGATGGGGGCAATGCCAGCTGAGCGTGGATATTTCCCCATAGTGAGAAATGATCAATGGCCACCACTTATGAACATTTTTAATAAACACATGTGACATCATCCACTGACAAACTCATTAGTAAGAAACTGAAATAATCTCGGTTGCTGGATACAGGAGCTTCCAATAAGAAACCTTTCAAGCCTCGTTATAAAATGAAAGGGAAAAATGTTAGATTTGGTTCAGGGTGGCTTCTACTATGAACCACTAAATAATTATGCACCATTGAATTAAACTTAAAATTAATAAATAATTGAGATGTTTCAGTTCAAGATAATAATTACTTATTATATTTAGGTTGACATATAGTAATTTATTTACAACATAAGCCTAGTTTGGGTAAATGTCTAAAAATGTCCTTATTGAAAGAAAAAAAAATCACTCAATTAATTAATATTATCAACCTAATCATGTCCGTATACATTTTACGACTTAATAAAATAATAATGCAAAAATTATGTCTTGGTAAAATAACATTAAAACAAACTATATGAAATACAAAATCAATTACAAAAGCATAGTAAAAAATATAATATAATAACTAAATAATACTATAACAAAAAAAAAAAAAAGAAATAATATAATAAAAATATAAAACAATTGTAAAAGCTTATTATCAAGACATAGATAAGACAAAAACACTTTAATATTAAAGTAAAATATTCAAAAATAAAAAATCACTAAAATAATTTTTTATTTTAAAATGTTTTATAATATTTTTTTGTTAAAATAAATGAAACTTAACAACCTAAAATAAGAAAGACCTTCAAGCAAGGGGTCTAGAGAACCACAAATTACAAGCATCCAAGTTTAAGAGAGGAACAAGAGGGGGGAGGGCAAGTTCTCAAACTGATAAAGGGGGATGGGGCAAGAGGGGTGGGGGAAGAATAGGAGATCAAGACCCATTTTAGCAAGGGTATCATTACATTGATTTGTCTCTCTACATATATGAGCAAACCTAACATTTCTAAGAGAATCCCTAATATTACAGATCAATGGATACAAAGGATGGGATGATAGCTGGACATTTAGGATAAGATTGATGACATCTTTGTAGTCACTTTTAATCCAAATGATCTAGATGTTCTTCTGAACCACAAGTTGGATACACATATAAAGACCCGAAAGTTCAACCTTTAGAGGGGAGTAGGGGCTAAGGTTGGCATAGAACCCAACTATAAATTATTCATGGTTGCCACGAATTAGTTCACCACAAGTAATAACATCACTAGCTCTTGACATTGCTCCATCAACATTAAGTTTCAGTTATTTAGCAAGAGGAGGAACACATCTCACATTTCTATGATCCATAGCTAATATGGTTAGAGGTTTAGAGTTTTTTCTGCAACAACAAGAGAAATAATCAACATCAAATAAAGCCTTTTAAGCTAAAGTGCTAGGATGGGCAAAATGCTGTTAGAAAATAAACTCATTCCTATGTTTCTAAATATGTCAAATAACAATACCAGAAATTATAGGCAAGTTATGAAAGTTTCTCATACAAGTATTAGATAAATTAAATAATATCCAGGCAAACAAACCATTACTAAAAAATTGAGTCCAATGAACTGGGAGGATAAAGTGATTCTAAACACTTTTAGCATAGAAGCAGTCTCTCAAGGTATGCATAATAGACTTAGTATTTTCACCATATCTAGGACAGATTGGGGATTCAGTCATAACCCTCCTAACTCTCTCCCCATTAATGAAAAGCTTCTCATGGACAATTTTCTAGAGAAGAAAAGCAAATTTGGGAGGACCTTCCCATTTTCAAACAATTTTAAATAGATCTTGCCAACAATGAGAGTGAAAGGTAGAATTAAATAGTAATTCATAAGCAAACTTAATAGTGGACACACCATTATTTGTTAAATTCCAAAAAATTGCATCTGAACCATTGACCTTATCAAGGGGGTCAATTTGAGCAATAGAACTACAGACCAAGTCAGGAATAAGAGGTTTGATTTTATCCAAATCCTAAATCCCTTTAACTGCAAATAAAGCCACAAGGAAGTTTAAATTTGGGTTAGTTAAGGGGCTACTAGTATAACTGGATAGGTTACAAAGTTTAGGAATTCAATGATCAATCCTAATAGACATTCTATTCTTTACAAACTAAATTAGGCCTTGGAAAGTTGAGGCCAAACCAACATGAGATTTTTCTAAAGATAGGACTCTCTATAGGATTTCTTAATACCTAAATTATTGCTAAGGCTGAAATTGTATTTATGGCTCAGAACTTGAGCCACTGATCAGATGGAATATTGACCAACCTTCATCAAAGCTTTATTAGATAAGCTTTATTAAGCATATGCAAATCCTTAAAACCCCAATCCACCCTCAGTTATAGGTTTACAAATGTGTTGTCATCCAACAAGATGACATTTTTTATTGTCCAAGGAACCCTAGATAAATTTCTTGCAAATGCTATATATTTCATTACAAATAAAAGAGGGAATTAAAAGAGATTGCATTATATAGGCATGAATACTCATTAAACAAGATCAAGCCAAAGTAACTCTACTCGTTAATGAAAGTGAATTTATTTTCCATAAGGACATCTTTTGCCTAATTTTGTGAATAAGGAAATAGAATTGGCTCCTAGAGGGTTTATGATGGGAAATGAGAATACCAAGACAATTTCCAAAATGATTCACATGATTAATATTTAAACAACTATTGATAGACTGACTAAAAGAAGCATCAATGTTTTTGTAGAAAAATAAAGATGACTTTTCATAATTGATTTTAAGGCCAT